TGAGAAAAGCAGTGACAAATGAAAAAGAGCCAATTCACTTAGAAAGTGCCATGAAGACAGCCGAGGGTAACAAGCACTAAATTGAAAAAGAGAGTGGATGGTGGAAATAGGTCAAAACAGCCCAGTGCAGCATAATCATTATATGACAAAATGACCAGAAGATGTGATTACATTATTGATATGTAAGCTATTTATTATCAGAAGCTTAATATTGGTGACCTTCAAATTAAGAACTTTAATTTTGTCAGATGCTTTGGTTTTATGATATTTAACTCTGCTTAATTTCAACATTGTGTTATTTATAAAGACCTTGATTTTATCTTAAATTTCTAATACTTCTAAAAATAGCTATATAAATATAGTGCCAACTCAAATAGTATATTGTTGCATTTTTTCATAAAGCTTAATTACTGAAATTAAAAAAAAATCATTTGTGTATAAGAGTTAAACCTCAAGAGCAAAACTAACTGCAAGAAATTCAACTAAATTAAACACTTTTCTAAGTCAAAGAATGTTTAAAATATGGTAGTATGAAATATCCTATAGGATATTAGTATATATTAATCATGGGCTAAGTAAATTGATGAATTTCACTTAAAAAAGACTTGAGACATTACATTATTGTTCATGTATGGAGTTTGTTATCATCTTAGGCTACACAAAATGATAAATTATGGGAAAAAGTAAAGAGCTCTTTTTTTCCCTGGATCAAATATCTTCTTTGGGAGGATATTTTGGAATATAACATGTTCTATATATTTTTAGGGGCAATGATTTTGATATCACTAGACTCAGAGTAAAAGCAACTAAAAAAAGGCGCTATAAACAAAAAGGATAAACAAACTATGCTAGCCAGAATATGGTTTTATCTTTATTGGATTTATTGGATTTATAATATGAATTCTTATAAAACTTTATCTTTCTTCTCTCCCCATATTCCAGTTGATTCCATGTACATGAGCTAAGGTATCCAATAAAATGCTCACCCTTAGATTTTTACCTACCCGTACTCTTGAGAAAAGGATGCCCAAAGACACATGAATTTTTACATGTATGCTTTAGTGAAAAAAAAAAAAAAAAGTTTCAGTTCCATTGAGATATAGAGGCCTTGTTGCAGAGATACCTCCAAATGTTTTATTTACGCAACCCTTACATATGTATATATTCCCCAGTCTCTGGAGAAGTTTATATTTCTCCAGGAATACATGTATTACTCCCATGATGACTTGCTTCAGCCAGGTCTAATTTTCCAAAATATGCTTCAGATAACTGTTATAAGGACTCTTGAAAATATCTTTTCAATTTTATACAATGTAAAGAGACCACCTTCACCCTTCCTGCTTGTACGTGGTCAAAAATTTGACATGAATTTTGGTAATTTATCTACATTACAAAATTCCCATTCAAACGCTGTCACACATTCTGCCTCAGACATCAAAGAATCTGTGAATTTTCTAGTAATTACTATTACTTCTTTTCCAAGCCCTGCACAATCCCTGTAGGATTTTAGTTGTATATTAAAATCATGTAGTCAAAATTCTCCCATTCCTGGCACTTTTATCCCTATCTGTAATATCAGTTAAGGCTTCCAGTAATCTGATTGCGATTAGTCACCTTGCGTCCTCAGTATCAGTTTCAATTTTGAAGAATCCTCTTTTCAACAAATGGAGTGAATTAAAAATACTAAAAAAAACCCTCACGTAAATCTACAATGGATATTTTCCCAAACTCAGGAGTGACTAATTTCTCAAGATATTAAGCATCTATGAAGGCTGCTCAAACCCAAATGTTGAACCTGTTTGTTAGAAATAGTGACGTTCTGTAAATTTATCTGATGTTCTATAAGTCTGTGCACTTATTCACTGAAGCATTCAATTTTCAAAAAATTAATCTCTCTATACTATAACTCAAGTGTCAGGGCAGTTTCCATAACTTCTGTTTGAAAGGGGTGGGAGGAAAGCCTGCTAATTCTCAATTCCTAGGCCAGGACTGCCTTTATTGCTAGGCACTATGAAATAGTTTGGACTTAGAGTTTTCTTTGTCGGAAGGTATTTAATTATGAATTCAATTTCTTTAAGAGATGTTTGACTATTCAGATACCTATTTGTTCGTGAGTTTGCTTTGGTAGTTTTTATCATTTGAGGAATTTGCCCATTTCATTTAAAGTGTTGAATTTATGAGCATAGGGTGCTTCATAATATTCCTTTACTAATTTTCAAATGCCTCAACTGACTAGTTGGTCAGTCTGAACAGAGGTTAGTTAGTCATATTGCTCTTTACAAAGAAACAGCTTTAGACTTCATTGATTTTCTCAATTTTCTATTTTAAATTTTATCAATTTCTGCTATTGAATTTATTTTGTAATTTTTAAGTTTTTTTCCCTTTCAACCTTGGCAGCCTTTTCTATTTTTAAAAAACAACTTTTTTGAGGTATGATTGACATAAAATGGCTATAAATATTTAATGTATTCAATGTCATAAGTTTGGTGGTATGTATACATTTGTGAACTCATCATTACAATCTGTACCAAAACCACATCTGTCATCTCCAAAATTTATTCCCACCCTCTTTATTATTATTTTTGGCAATAAAGACACAACATAAGATCTACCCTCTTAGCACATTTTTACATATACAATATAGTATTGTTAAATGTAGGTACTACAAGGGTGCTTCAAGAAGTGTTTGGAAAAATGGAATTAAAAGTTAATGCAAATCTTTCCATAAGCTTTATGAAATACCTTTATGTGCTGTAAAGTTGATCCCTAGGATTTACTCATCTAGCATAACTGAGTCTTCCTACCCCTTGACTAATACTTCTCTGTTTCCCTTTCCACCCAGTGCCTGGAAACTACCATTTTACTCTTTGTGACTATGAGTTTGACTATTGTAGATTCCTCATGTAAGTGGTATCATGAAACATTTGTCCTTCTGTGGCTGGCTTATTTCACTTAGTGTAATGTCCTCCATCCATGTTGTTGCAAATGGCAGGATTTTTTTCTTTTATTAAGGCTCAGTAATATTCTATTGTATATGCATTTTTTTAATCCATTCATTCATTGGTGAACATCTAGGTTGCTTCCATGTTTTTGGTTATTGTGAATAATGCTGTAGGGAACATGGGAATACATATATCTCTTCAAAATCCTTATCTCTAATATTTTGGATAAGTATCCATAGGTGAGATTGCTGAATCATATGCTAATTCTATTTTGAATTTTTTGACACCTCCATACTGTTTACTAATAACAGCTGAACATTTTGCATTCCCATAAACAGTGTACTCAGGTTCCCTTTCCTCCTCCACATCCTGTTAAATGCTTATCACACCTCCATACTGTTTACTAATAACAGCTGAACATTTTGCATTCCCATAAACAGTGTACTCGGGTTCCCTTTCCTCCTCCACATCCTGTTAAATGCTTATCTTTTTTTTTTGCCATCCTAACAGGTATGAGGAGATATCTCATGTGGCTTTGATTTGTATTTTCCTGATGATTAGTAATATTGCGGGTTTTATATATACCTGTTGGCCATTTGTATGTACTCTTTGGGAAAATGTCTATTCAGTTCCTTCGCCCATTTTTAAATTGGATTAGTTGTTTTTTTGCTATTGAGTTGTAGCATTAAATATCTTGAAAAATAACCTTTCATTAGATGTATGGTTTGCAGATATTTTCTCTCTTTCTGTAGGTTGCCTTTCTATTTGGTTGATTGTTTCCTTTAATGTGCAGAAACCTTTTAGTTTGATTCAGTCTTGTTTGTCTACTTTTGCTTTAGTTTCCTGTGCTTTTAGTGTCATATACAAGAAATTATTGGCAAGACCAATGTTAAGAAGTTTTTCTTTTTTTTTCCACAAAATTTTGTACATTCAGGTTCTGCATTTAAGTTTTTAATTCATTTAAAGTTTTGTGTATTGTGTAAAATAAGAACCCAAATTTAAATGGATAAATTTTTAGAAACACACAACTTACCAAGAGTGAATCAAGAGGACATAGAAAGACTAAACAGACCAATAATAAATAAGGACATTTAATCAGCAATCCAAAACTCCACAACAAAGGAAAGCTCAGGACAAGATGGCATCACAGGTTAATTCCACCAGACATTAAAAGAATTAATACCAATACTTCCTAAATTCTTTCCAAAAAATAGAAGATGAGGGAACACTTTTAAACTCTTTTTATGAGGCCAACATCATCCTAATACCAAAGCTAGGCAAGGAAATTACAAGAAGGAACAACTACAGGCCAATATCACTGACTAACATGAGAGTAAAATTCTTTCACAAAATACCAGCAGACCAAAGTCAACGGCACTTCAAAAATACCATAAACCATGACCAGGTGAGATTTATTCTTGGGATGCAAGGATGGTTCAACATATACAAGTCAGTCAAAATGCTACACCATATTAATGGAATAAAAGATAAAAATCACATGATAATCTTGATAAATACAGAAAAAGTATTTGACAACATTTAATCTCTTTTAATAATAAAAAAGTCAACAAATTAGGTGTAGAAGGAACTTACCTCAGCACAATAAAGGCCATATATGACAAACCCACTGGTAAAACCATACTCAATGGTGAAAAACTGAAAGCTTTTTCTCTAAGATCTGGAACAAGGAAACAAGGCTGACTTTTACTTAACTTAATATTGAAAATTCTAGCCAGAGAAATTAGGCAATAAAATGAAATAAAAGGAATCCAAATCAGAAGGAAGAAGTTAAATTATCTCTGTTTGCAGAGAACATAATTTGTAGAAAACCTTAGAGACTCCACACACACACACACACAAATGTTAGAACCAATGCACAAATCAAGTACAGTTGCAGAATACAAAATCAACATAAAAAATCATTGAGTTTAGGGCCGGCCCGGTGGCGCACTGGATAGTGCGCCCCTTGGGAAGCACGGTGGCGCTCCCGCCCGAGGGTTCGGATCCCACATACAGACCGGTTCCC